CTCTATATACTACTCATATCTTTATATAAGTAGTACACATCACTACTGTTATAATTATTTCCTTGAGTTCCAAGCGGAGCATAAATAGTTATCCGTACATCGCCATTTCGACCTGTTTTTTGTGCGGTCCTTTTTCTTTAGCTGGCTCCCCGATCGCCCATAAGCTCTTATCTCTTCCAACTCCTCCTCAGCCGGTGTCTGATCCGGCCCCATTTCCTTCTGTATCTTTTCGGCCAGCGGGTCGTCTGTTGGCTCGTTGCCAGAGTTCCTTGTTGTGTATCCTTTCCTGTAGGCCGTGCGATTGATCTTCAGTATGGAGCGAAGACAGATCTTGACAAAAGTCACCAGACTGTTAGAAATGCTTTTACGGATCCGTGCGCCGAATATCTGAACCATATAGAAGGAAGCACTGACTGAATCACTTGACATTAGTGTTCAAAATCTGAATATTCTTCCTTGTACTGAGTGCAGCAGGTCTCCACACTGATTTCCGAGTGGTGAATGTCTGTATTGGTTTTCGGAGCCTAGGTGTCTTTGACATCCTCTTAAGTGCTGCCTGTGATTGAAACGATGGTGTTTGAATAAGTGAAAGAGGCAACATCCTTCAAATTTCTTTTGTTCATTGTAATTGGTTCTTGTTGATGTTTAAATATCTTCACCTGCGACTTTCTGCTCCATATTCATGACAGTGACACCTTATTACTTAAATGATGATTTTTTTTATCAAGGTTTTACAATAATATTGGATTTATGTTTATTCTAAATTAGGTGGTTATCCGTAATAATTTAACTTTTGCGGAATAACTTTATAATAACACTATGTCGTAAACAGTTGGCAATGAGCCGCCACACCTACTACTGTGTGATGACTACTGATTTTAACTGGCTGTCCAAAGCTCGGTAGGTGAAGGAAGGTTCGAACCTGTGACCCAGTGGTTCGAAGTGGTATGTCTAGACCAATGAGCGACAGTCACATTTATAATAACACTGTGGATAGATTTAAGCCATCCATACGGAAATAGTGTTTCTTAACAGTTTAAGCATTTTAAAGATCTCTACGCCTATTCACACTAGTACTTACTAAAGTGAATTCTCACAGCAGAATATTTTATCAATAATTTATCGTGACATCTGTGTTGCATGCATTGTGCTCGTTGCACTCCTACTTTTAATAATTTGTTACAATTTCTTTACTGTCATTATTATTATTATTATTATTATTATTATTATTGTACCTTAGGCATCTTTAGTTTTTGAAAAAAATGTTCTTTTCGTTTGATTTATACCCATGTATGTGCGTGGGTGTATGTTAACAAACTAAACCGGTTTCTCTTAAAATCAATAATTCTTTTGGTTTCAATCAATTGCCAGGGTTTATTTTCTTCTTTTTCTCGGCCATATTCCTCATTTTCTCGAGTGGACGTTTTTGTTGTACACATTTTTATGTTGATCAGTATGTGAACGGCGTTATCTTTTTTGCGTTTTTAACAAACTTTATCAAATCTCCTGCCTTCTTTGCTAAGTATCCGGGTCAAATGACCTATTCACATTTACTTTTTGTATATATTATCAACTAATCTTTCTTTTGTTTGTTAGTGTGTATGTGTGCACGTGTGCGCGTTGGTGTGTGCGTGTTATCCAGTGTTACTTCGATATGATTGTGTTGTTCAATTAAATCTTTCTTGCCTTCTGTGTCATTTTCGCCCTTAGCAGATCTGAAATTATTGCTTGGTAAGAACTTGTGTGTGTGTGTGTGTGAATGTATCTGTGTAGTTTGTTGAAATACCTTTGGGTTTTTATGTTTATCATTTTGCTGTGTTAATAAATTTAACTTTTATGGGATGAAAGATTTTCTTTCAAAAAATAACTGAATCTGATACTAGTATATATGATTGCACTTCACAAAAGCCTTGGGTTTTTTTGTTTATTTTATGAACCATTTTTTTGGTAACATTATCGCAAATCGGGGGGGGGGGGATATGTATCTCAAAGAACGTTTCATTGAATGTGTTGGGAAATATGGTATAATTTGAATTATTTGTGTTTTCAATCTAATTTGCTTAAAACCGTCACACATAAAAGGCCTTTTTCCGTTAACATTAACTCTGTTTGGAACAATTTAGCAGGATGCCTTAGACACCTAGGTTTCGTCAGCAAGGTATATCTGCAATCTTGAAGGGACTTACGTTGATTCAGAGAGTGGGACCCGAGTTACCTAGTGGTGTGAAGTTAGAGATGTTACCTCTGAGTTAGAGTGCTAGGTTGCGAAATCTAGATTAGCTTGAAAATCCCCATTGAGTCATATGAAAAAGAGAAGACGTTCAGTGAAGAGACTCTTTTCAGCGAATTCATTCACATAGGTGTAAAATCGCATTTATGTATAATTATTTGTGTGTGTGTGTGTACATGAGGTTTGTCAAGTTTAGATAATTAATTAGGTAATACATGAATGATCTAATGTAGAGACAAGGTTAATCAGACAGCAACTAAAGTAAGATTGAGTTAGTAAGTTAGATGACGTAATATAATTGACTAAAATGTTTCCACTTAGGTCAGGGTAGCAACAGAGGTAATTACAGATAGAGACTAAGTAGAGGTGTGGTAGAGAATAATGCCATTTAATTTAAAACTAAAATTGAGCAAATAAGTTGGATGACATAACATAAATGACTAGAAATTGAGCGTTGTTCAAATCAGTAACAGTGGTAATGAGGTGTAGAAATTAAATCGGGTGGGAGTAGAGTATAATATTAGTTGACCTGATTAAGATAAGAAAAGCTAGAGAATAGTTCAGCTATAGCGCTACATGCAATTACATACAACCATACAATAGGATGGGCTAAAATGACAGCTTTAAAATCTAATGTAACAGCAGGGTGGAGGGAGAGATTCATAACAGAAGCTTTGCTCATCGAATCAACTGCAAATACGTGTCTTCAATAAGAATGATTCAACTCCTGTCCAGCCAGACACCTGGAAAATTCTACTACCTTAACAACGACAAATAGGAGAAGACAAAGAAGACTATAAAACTGAAGTTTCTAAGTCGTGTGATTGTAATTGATGAAATGATTATGAACAATAGTGAGTTTTGTTCGAAACAATGGCATCCAGTAAATAATACTGTTTCACACTGTGTGATATATCCAATAAACAAACTAATATGGAATTACTTACTACTACCACAGTGCCCAAGTTTTACATATATATTTCTTTCTTCACATTCTTACACACACATTCGGGATTCTTTTTGAGGAAAGCATCGATTAAACTTGTTGCATTGAACACTTTTAGATCTGTTATTATGCATTTGATGACTGTTTTGTAATCTGATTCTTAACAAATTTACAGTTAATTCATTACATTGTAAATAAAGCTGGTTATTTACTGCGTAAAATACTGATAACTCCAGATTGAGTGTTGACTACGAATTTTATGCGCACGTATTCTATTCTAGATATGATGGAGAAGATTTGTAGCTCAGGTGGATGATTTTAACGTAGTTGTGTTCTCTGAGCTGGATAGTTAATTTGCGAAGCTTTCATTGCCTGACTTACTAGGCAACATCTTCAGCGCATACTTCAATTCGAAGTCTATTCTATTCTTCTGGAACTGCTGTACTTCTGTGCAAAGTTCTATGTTCGGCTCAACTCGGCTGTCAACCAAGGGACGTGTATACTGCTAAACAGTTCGCTCCGTCCTTCTCTATGGCGGTGAGACGTGGCCATTGAGAGCGGAAGACATGAAGAGATTGTCTGTTTTTGACCACAGATGTTTACGATCTCTTTCTCGCGTTAGGTGGTATAATAAGGTAAGTAATGTTGACGTTAGGCGTAGAGTGCTGGGCAGAGAGGGAAAATCAATCGACGAGGCTATAAAGTTACATAGATTGAGATGGTTAGGTCACGTGCTGCGCATGCCTAACCATCGTCTCCCCCGACGGATGGGCATTACTAGCTGATATAGGTGCAGGTTGGAAAATAGTAGGTGGTGGCCAAACAAAAACATGGCCTTATCAATCCATGAAATCCTTGACAGTTAAACTGAGTCAGGTAGGAAGATACAAACTTCCGGGTTAGGGCCCGCCCTCGGGACTCTAAGAATCAATGGCTGGAGACAATAGGCGACATGAATCAAAATCGTTGTCAATGGCTTACGCAGATGTATTCAGTCTCTGTAATCTTTCATATTCCTTTCTACCATTACTCATTCTGTTTCACTCTTATACTTATCTAAATTCTATTGATTCTCTTCACTCATTTTCCTGTCTACCTTTCTGTGCTCTTTGGAACGTGGCAACTGGAACTGCTGCACTTGGGTGCCAAGTTCTATGTTGAATCCAGCAGCAGCAGCAGTATCATTTAACAATTATTTGGAATTGCATACAGTTGATAATAAGCTACACATTTTGTGTAAGTTCTGGTTTTACTATCCGGAGCTTTTGAAACCTCGGTATCTGGAGTTAAGTTCGGACCCGTAACCCATTGGTTCGAAATCGACCGCCTAGACCAATGAGTCAGAGCTGCGAAGTGCTTGCCTCAGTCAGTCAGTCATGATTGCCAATGCCTTTCATTAATTACTGATGAAGGTGTAGTCTATTGACTTAGTCGATGAACTTGACTGCTAATCCCAACTCTGTTCTTCCGACCAAACAAACACCATTGTCAAGCCTAAAACATACAATTCATTTATCAAGTGCGTGAATAGCATGTGATTTACTTGTAAGTATAGTGTGATAAACTGTACCTTCTGAAACATAAGCTATTGAAGCAGCAGTTATTGAATTCATGATTCTCAGTTGAACTCGTCACCTGTTTAATCCACATACATGATTTCATGTACTGCTGTCCATTGAGGATAGCAATACAGTGTGAGTAGTTAAAGTGGGTCAAATGGAATATTATATATTATATATATATATATATATATTTCTCAACCTTTTTTCTGAAATAATGTTTTAAGTACTCAATTTCACTGAAATTCTTTTTCTTTTACAACAGGTGGATCCTTCAACTCAACTCTGAATAACAAGACTATTTCTCGACCTCCTGGTCAGGCAGTACGTGTACAACACATCTCTCCGCATGGTGAAACATCTCGCGCTGAAGAAAACACCGTCATTACACCTAAAATTGCTCAAGACACCAAAACACATAATGTTAATCAAAAAGGCTCAGATGTTAGTCCCACTAAGTCTTCGAAATCTACTCATGATAGTAAAACTTCTACAGAATCATCATCATCACCACATTATTCAGCTCAGTCTAAAGAACTTTCACATCAACATGTCTCTCCAAATCGTCCTATCGATTATAGTTCTGATGAGGACTTCTTCGATGCTGAAGAGGCTAATTCTGAATTTTCAATAACATTTCCAGATCTTTCAATAAATGCTTCAAAAAATAATGAAAATAAAGATTCTCGCAAAGGTGGTAGAAATTACTCTGGTACTAAATCGAATGAACATCAAACAAGTCTGGGCGGTTCTCAAGATGATGATTCTCTAGTACCTACAGGTTCTGAAATGGCTGATGAATCAGAATCTGATGTGAGTTTCACCGATGATGAAGGCGATGACTATAGTGATCGAAATTCACCAGCAAATCAATTCGGAAAACTACGTGAGGCACGTGTTATCCAACCACGTGGAAGAAGGTGTGACAGGTAAGTAAATTTGTTTACAGTGTTGCATAGTTTATATATTCATGTTTTTATCATTCATTCGAGGTGTTGTACACAATATGTGTGCTGAAATGATTTTCCTGTCTGTTTTTGATAAAAAAAAAAGTAATTTGATTGATGCAGTGTATTTGCTGAGAGTACCAAAGCAAATGCGGTCTTTGACTGTGTTGGTTTGATTGAGTTGGGCAAGTAGGGAGATGAAATACAGACTACCTGGTGAGTGAGTGAGTGAGTGACGTCCAGAAATGATGATCCAATATCAGGAGACTGTTGATGGATGATGGCACGACCTGTTCTCTCTCAATGGTGTAGGGGTAAATTTACTCCTTATGAACTTTTAGATATTATTTTCCATGTAATTTAATCTCCTCCTTTACATTCCCGTTCATTGCAGTTCTTTTGTGTTCTTGTTTTCTTCTGCATTTCATTTATGTGCTTATAAAGTGTTACACTTTCGTGTAGAGTTCTGTGTTATAAAACTCAGTTATTCCGTTGATGGATACTTCATAGATTGATGAGTAGACGTTTCCACGTGCTCGCTCTGTTGAGGGACAGATTTAAAGCTACATTTGCAGTCAATTAATTCACTGGAAACAGTATAAAACTTTATCATTCTTGTAGCCATATAACAAGTGTGTCACAGTTAAGTATGACATACCACTATATTAAAGATAGCAGTAACAAATTTAATTCCATATTAGTTTGTTTATTAGATATATCACACAGTGAGTGAAACAGTACTATTTACTGGATGACGTTTCGAACAAAATTCACTATTGTTCATAATCATTTCATCAATTATAATCACACGACTTCGAAACCTGAGTTTTATAGTTTTCTTTCTCCTCTCCTATTTGTCGTGGTTGAGTTAATAGAATTTTCCAGATATCTGGGTGGACAGGTGTTGAATCATTCCTATTACACGTATTTACAGTTGATTCGATAAACAAAGCTTCTGTTATCAATCTCTCCCTCCACCCTGCTGTTACATTAGATTTTAAAACTGTCATCTTATCCCATCCTATTGTATGGTTGTGTGTAATTGCATGTAGTGCTATAGCTGAACTATTCTCTAGCTTTTTTATCTTATTCGGGTCAACTAATCTAGATTTTGCTAGGTTTTTATGCTCGGCTAGTCTGACTGACCCCGTTCTACTACTTTGACCTATGTATCTGACCTGACAATCATCTCAGGCAGGGTATTAGATAAACTAAATTGTTTTGTTTTAATGGCTCCGCAGGATCTTTTACGTGCAAAGCTTGTTTCTAATTGAGTTTGTGGGTTTGAATGCCACTTTTATTCCTGCCCTGTTAGAAATTCTAATTGAGGTTTCCGAGGTTGCTTCTTCGTATGGAAGTACTACTGATGATTTAGACTCCTCATTACTGAAGTTGTTATTATCCTGTGCATGTTTGACAAGCATGTCGTCATCATTATTGTTATCCCTATCACTACTATCATTATTTACTTTATTTTTACCTTTCCCTACATACTTTCTGACTAATTTATCAGTTTAATTATTAATTTTCAAAGCTTCACTTATATGCCTCATTTCCTGTCTTAGATTTTCCAGTAAATAATATTATTTCACTGTGTGATATATCTAATAAACAAACTAATATGGATTTACTTACTACCACAGTGCCCAAGTCTTACACATATATAATAAAGTAACAAATTTACTCAGTATATAATTCTGTTGAATGAAGTGGTTGTTAATTAGTAAAAAATGTCGATAAATTTATTCCTACCTTGATATGCATGTGCTGATAAGGCTGCTGTTGTGCTTGGTTGTTTAATTGAGAACTTTTTTAATCTTGAGCATAGCATTTAGGACTGCTCTATGGTGTTGTGAAACACGTGCTTTGGTGTTTTTGGGAAATGCAGTTGTTTCCAATCTTGTTTTTCAATCTATACTTTGTTTATGTGTATATTTGTTAAAAAATAACACACAAACTTGGTACATTATGGACATCAAGAGATGATGCGCCACAAAAAATCTCATAGTGTGTGTGACGGCTGGGATGTTGCTTGGATGTCTAGATCTAAGCAGCTGGTTGTTTTAAGGAGCCACTCCGAAAGCATTTGACTTAAAATCTGGTCCATAAGACAGTTGAGAAGCGTCGGTAGTTGTGTTCTTATGGTTTCTGGTGATTGAAACAGGTTCGTACTTCATTCAATCCCCTTCGGATTCTGGATTCTATGTACACCGTAGGTTTAGAATCAGGATTTCCCAACTTCCCTGGGTAGACTATCATGTCTACCAGTCTACCAGGTACGTTCATTCTTTGTTTACTTTTGTGAGAAACACCTTCTGCCGCATAAACTTAGTGAATAGGACTTGACTTGCAGCGGGGGAGGCTATGAACACATGGTCACGTGAAAGCGTTTCAAGAGAAAGACCGAAGTTTGCCCATTCTCGGCCGTATCAAGTTGTTTTGTTAAACCGATTCGATGGACTATGACGAACATTAATGTCCAATGATTTCATTCTGTTTATGTATACATTCACTGATGGGGATTAATATAAGCGTATATGGTAATATTTTTCGATTTTATGGCTACGCCCATATATTTTTATTGTGCATGTATGTATGTAAACAATATGCAGTCCTTCTAAATTGCGAGACTGCTCGTTTAGTACAAATGAAACGTTGTTTTTCTGAAGTTTATTGATGTGATTGTAACACTTCTATTTTTGAAGCTATATATATTCGACTGTTTAAAGATAGCTGCTAGCAGTTGAATGTAGAGTGATCATTTTGACTTTGTTTGGAATTCGTCAGATACCCCTTTAGACTTTCACTGTGATAGTCACTGTGGAGAGAATGGTACGTCTTTATTTATACCAGTTGAAGAGAAAGCTTGTCAATTAATTCACTTATGAGTAGAAATGATATGCGTGTAACTCTTACAGGTTTATTACAGTGAGACACATGGAAATAATACTGAAGATAAAATTTGAGTATCAGATAAGCATATTTTGACTCATAGCATATTCTAATAGTCTGTACAAATTTCTTATGACAATTTGTAAGAGAAAAAAACAACTATCGAATGGAAATGAGTCAAAGAAAATTAAAAACTGGGACGTGGCACCCATTGTTTCAAACACCGAATGATTATCAGCTTGTTTTATCTAGTTACGAGTTCTCGAAGGAGGAGATGCCTATCCTGCTAGCTGCTACCAATCAAATAATAAATATCATCAGTCACACTAATAGTAATTTCTTCAGAATGCATTAATATGCAATATATAAATATATTATCATTAAACTTCCACTGTTGAGCATATCTGAATCAATCAGATTGATGTGGCGTGAAGTAAAACAAAGATAGAATGAAATATCATTGTCAATAGTGCGTCGTTTTATAGCCTCTTCTTACCATATTCATGTTATCCCTGCAAAGTGATCCTTCCTTCTCTTTTGGTGATCTACTAACTACACTAGTTTATATCATAGGATGTTGGTAATTACTATTGAGTGACTAAATCAACTAATTCATACTTGTTGTTTCCATATCAATTTATATTTGTTTCCTTCGGGGGTAGGGGGGAATCAACTTTAAAGTGATCTTTCTTCACTTCCTTGTTTACATTAAATGACTACCCCTGTATAACGATTATTAATAATGGAAATTATAATGTCCTGGATGATAATTAAAAATCTGGGTTTTGACAGGATTCGAACCAACCTCTTCTAAATCACTATTCTGGCTGGCACTCTACACGATTGAGCTACGAGACCTGACTGCTGACCATTTCATCTTTTCATTGCAGATCGACTGCCAGAGGCATAACAAGTTTCCGACTTTCAACACTAATGTCAAGTCAGTCAATGCTTCTGTATATGATTCAGAGACTTGGGGTTTCACCAAACGCATTTCGGCACAGGTTTTTAGATTCTTGTCAACAATATGCCTTTATCTGACTCGCCATATTGTAGATCAGATGGCCAGAAATGATAAGCAACAAGGACCTCTAGGAATGAACCAACCAAGAACGTATTACCCTGCAAGTATGTAGAAAAAAATGGTGATGGAGTGATGACTATACACCGTTGAGTGACATCACGTGCCAGACTCTAGAGTTGAGCTGGAATGAAAATAGACGGGTTGTTGAAGACCTAAGGGAATAATAATTCCTGAACTTCGTGTAAATGAATGGTGCATTACTGTTCGTTTATCATTCTACTAGCCGCCGAAATATATGTTCTCTTGTGAATCCTAACTGTTGTAGATTAGAAGTGCAGCTGTTATGTTGAGGTAATCATTCATTCATATGAAAACTGGTCATTACCCGAGGGGATTGCAGTGAAATGCAGTGACCTGACCAACAGTTGCGTCTCGTATCTCAGCTCGTGAAGCACCGGCTTGGTAACTCAAAGATCATTGGTTTGAATCCCTCTGCGACTCAGACTATCTCATGTCACTTTCAATAGTCAACGACTGCTTCAATGATGATGGTGTATGTATGTCAACCCATGACTGCATCTCAGATAGTCTCACTATCAGAAAACTGTAGTCCTCTCTACGCTTCCATAAACATTTTATTTGATGTGTATTAACAATGATTAAAATTCATTTTTCGTTTCATGGGTTTAGATAATTTGACTTCACCTCACACGTTATGAGATTGGAATACACAAATAGGCTGTCTTCTTTTTACTTAGAAATTATGGAATTCGTTTCAATACTCTCCGAGTTTTAATATTTATTTGTATATTTTCCATCATTTCATAATGTGATTTAAATTTAGTTGCGGAATTTTAATGTGGTTGTGTTCTCTGAGCTGGATAGTTAATTTGCAAAGCTTTTATTTTCTATAGTTTGGTTTGTAAGGATTAGTTATGTTTTTACGAGTTGATCACGGATTGATAACAGTTAGAAAACCATTGAAAACCAGCCACAGGGAGTACTGGACAGCTGTTTCATCCTCGTTTGGGAATCATCAGCAGTACACACCCACACCACAGGGGGT